CAGGCCTGGTCTCAGACCTCGGGGCACTCACTACCAGCCCCAAGGTCTGCTACCTGGAACCCCAGCCCGCGGGCCACCCCTGGAAGACAGGCCACAGGCTTCCCTGGGCCTGGCCCCGGCATCGGAGTGGAGCTGTTGGAGAAGAGGAGGCCCCTGGGCAGAGAAGGTGTCCCAGAGCTGCAGGGGCCCATGGCAGGCTGGGGGCTCCTGAGTTAGAGTAGGGTCATGTCCAGCTGTGCCACCACTGGCTGTGTGACCTTGGACAAGTCACTCTGCCTCTCTGTGCCTCCATGTCCTCGTGTATGAATGGGGTGGGGATATCTACCCTCACCTGCGGTTTCGGGGTGAGCCAATCAGTAGGTAAGGCACCTGGCAGATGACAAACACCCTCCTGCCAGGTCTTTGGTGGCAGCCACACTGAAACCACACCCTCCCCGGGCTGACACCAGGCTCACAGCCCTAATGCCATCCACAGGCTGACGACCCCCCCAGTTACATCCAGCCTGGCCCTCGCCCCCGAGCTCCAGGCTCATCTATTCAGCCGTTGATGTGACAGCGGCACTTGGGCATCGAACGGGCACCCCAAACTTAGCATGTCCAAAGGACCCCGATGTCCGCCCACATCGGCTCCTCTATCATCTCCCCCACTCAGTGCACGACACCCTCCCTTCCCAGCCTCACACCAAAAGCCACGGAGTCATCCCTGACTCCTCTGTGTCTCCCACCCACATGCACCCATCAGAGACAGGCCAGCCCCCCTCCCGCCCCCGCCAGACACAGCCAGAAGCCCGCCTCCCCGCCAGCCTGCCGTGCAGCCCCTGTCGGGATTATTCCATAACCTCCTCCTGGGAGCCCTGATTCCGGCTCGCCTCCTCCGGGCCCCACCCAGCAGCCAGCGGGATCCTTTTAACCCTACGCAGCAACGCCTCCCTCCCACTCACACCCCACAGCAGCTCCCTTCTCACTCACAGCAAAAGCCAACGGCCTTCCCACCGCCACTGGGTCCCATGCCATCCGCCCTGTGCCCACCACCCTCCTCAGTCCCAGACCCGCACAGCGGGTCACTGCGTCTACACCATCACGCTGTGTGGTTGTTACAACGCCTGTAGGGTGAGGAGAAGGATCACGGCCCTAATGCACAGATGAAGAAACTGAGGCAGAGGCCAGCGGGCTTGCCTAGGACCCCACAGTTAGACACAGAGCTCCGACCAGGAGCTGGGGTCTGGGGTCCCCAAGATCTTCCATGTCTCTGGCCTCTAATTCACTGACACCCAACTCTTCAAGATAATCCCCCAGTGCTGTGCTGGGACGTGGGCAGAGTCCCCGGGCCTGGGGGTGGGTCCAGGATGGCCTACAGAGCCAGCAGGAGGCGCAGGAGGGAAGGGCCCCCGGGCTGACGCTGCCAGGCCGGCTCCTGGGCAGGGCGGCTTGGGGCTGGGAGAGGGGAAAGGTGCCTGACCCACCTCTCACCTCAGGGGCCCAGGGGATCCTGTGAGGGCAGATACAGGATGGGCGGAGGAGGAAGAAGAGAGGAATGGACAGAAAGGAAGGTGGGCTGAGTGGAGAGGGAGGTGATGGACCATCTAGAAAAGAATGAAGAATGGAAGATGGTGCAGCCTCCCAGGCTCAGAGAGGAGAGAGAGGAAGAGGAGAGAAACGAGGAAAGGGGGGGAGAGAAAGGGAGGAGGCGGGAGAGGCAGGGGTGGAGAGATGAGGAAAGAGGAGGAGGCTAGGAAAGGGAAAGAGAGAGGAGGGGAGAGATGAGACAGAGAAAACGAGAGGAGGCAGGAAAAGAGAAAGGGAGGGAGGAGGGAAAGCCCGGGACCTGGAGAAAAAACTCACAATGAAGAGAGAAGACAGGGTAAAGCGTGAAAAAAGCACTTCCAAGCCAGGTGGAGGCTGCCCCTACTCGGCCCTCACCCCCACTCCCACCCTCCATCCCCCACTCACCTTGTCCGCGGACTGTGAGGTGCCAAAGAAGATGGGGATGAAGGCCAGCCAGACGATGCAGGTGGTGTACATGGTGAAGCCGATGGGCTTGGCCTCGTTGAAGGTCTCGGGCACGCCACGTGTCTTGATGGCGTACACCGTGCACGTGACCATGAGCAGCATGCTGTAGCCCAGCAGGCAGATGAGCGACAGGTCCGAGATGTCGCACTTGAGCACCCCCCGGGCGAAGCGGGGGTCCAGCGTCCGCTGGTCCTGGAAGTCCACCACCGAGTGGGAGGGGTCCACCACGAACCACACACAGATGCCCAGCAGCTGCAGGGAGATGAGGCTGAAGGTGATGGCCAGCTGCGAGGCGGGGCTGATGAACCGCGGGGCGCTGACCGACCGTTTGCCTTGCTCGAAGATGCGGTAGATGCGGTTGGTCTTGGTGAGCAGGGCTGCGTAGCTGATGCTCATGCCAAGCCCCAGGAAGATGCGGCGCAGCGAGCAGGTGCCCAGGTCGGGCTCCGCGATCATGAGGAAGGTGGTGGCATAGCACAGGAAGATGCCCGCCAGCAGCACGTAGCTCAGCTCGCGGCCCGAGGCCTTGACAATGGGTGTGTCGTTGTAGCGCATGAAGGTGACCACCACGAAGAGCGTGGCCGCGATGCCCACTATGGCCAGGAAGAGGGGCAGCACGGCCCAGGGCGAGGCCCACTCCAGCTTGATGATGGGGATGGGCCGGCAGCCCGTGCGGTTCTCGGTGGGCCGCATGTCGTACGGGCACGTCTTGCAGGTGTAGCGGTCCACCTGGTACTGGTACCCAGTGCAGGGCTCGCAGTGCCAGCAGCAGGGCATGCCCTTCACTGTCTTCTTCCGCTCCCCCGGCTGGCAGGGCAGGCTGCAGATGGAGCGGGGCAGCTGCTGCCCACTCCCCGGCCACAGCATCCGCTCCATCTAGCAACGACAGCGCGGAGGAGTGGGCCTCAGGATGTGTCCCAGTGCCCCGGACCACCCCATGGCTGGCACCCTGTAGCCCCACACCTGAATCACCCACTTACTTGGCTACAAATCCAGTTGCCCGGGCCCTCCAGACCCGCTGAATCCAACAGCTGGATTTAAACAAGCTCCCCCCGATTCAGACACACTAGCCTATGAGAAATCCTGATCGAGTCCAAAACTCCAGGGTTGTAGAGGGGACAGCAGAGAGCAGCCTAGAGCAAGCATGTCAAACTCGCGGCCCATGGGCCACATGTGGCCCCCAACAAATATTTTTGCGGCCCAGCCAATATAACGGTATGTAAGAAACATTTTAATAAAAATCCCATAACTTAATTTTTCCAATATCCTGTTATGCATAACTAGAGGCCCAGTGCATGAAATTCATGCACAGATAGGGTCCCTAGGCCTGGCCAGCAGCCGGGATCAGGGTCTTCCAGCTGCTGGCTGGGGCCTTCCTTTGTTCTGTGCTGCCCCCTGGTGGTTAGCGTACATCATAGCGAGCAGTTGAACTCCCGGTCAGTCAAAGATGAACTCCCAAGGGGACAATTTGCATATTAGCCTTTTATTATATAGGATTATTAATAACTACAATGTTCACTAATTACTGATTACTATAATCGTGTTGCATTCATTTCCCTTACACATCTTACACACCATTTCTCTCCACTAATACTAGCAGCGAATATTTTAGCAGCAGATGGCCACGTCATTAGTCTTGGACTGACTTGTTTGGTGTGCGCAACAGAAAATATTTCACTTTCAGAGAACTAGGAAAATGGGTTTATTTGCATTACACTTATTAATTTCTGCAGTTATTCAGTGTCTGGTAAGTTAATGTTCAAGAAAAAATATTAATTTTTATTAAAATGATCTATTATTTAATGTTAATGATGACTCATTTATTTCAGACCTTTGTGTTCAGCATATGTCTATCAAAATAAACCTACGTTTCTATGATAATGGAAGCTTTTGTTTTTTTGCAGCCCACATAAGCTTACACCTTGTTTATTTGGCCCGTGTTAGCCTGTGAGTTTGACATGCTTGGCCTAGAGCAGTGGTCGGCAAACTGCGGCTCACAAGCCACCGGCTCTTTGTTGGCCCCTTGAGTGTGGCTCTTCCACAAAATACCAACTTCTGCGCATGTGCCACAAAGTTTCAATTACGTGCGCGCCCGCACGTGGTATTTTGTGGAAGAGCCACACTCAAGGGGACAAAGAGCCGCGTGTGGCTCTCGAGCCACAGTTTGCCAACCACTGGCCTAGAGGCACACGGCAGAGCAGAGCACGCTCAGGAGGCCTCGCTGCTCAGCCGCGGCCCCCAGACCAGCAGCAGCAGCTCCACCCAGGAGCCTGCTGGGAAAGCAAAAACTTTGGTCCACCCCAGACCCACGGACTCAGAGTCCGAGTTTCCAGGAGATCCGGGTGCACACAGGCGGGGAGGAGCGCAGCTGGTGGCTCGGCCCACGGGCCTCCTCCGGCGCCACATGGAGCGGGGACCAGCGGAGAGCAACGAACAAAGTTTACTCACAGGACAGCCACTGCGTGCCCAGGGTCAGTGTTCACATCTTGCTCTAAACTAGTGCTAGTCACCACCCCACGTCTCCAAAGGCAGTCACTGTGAGTGAGCGAGCCACGGAGTGTGGGCACCGCTCTGAGTGTGACAGAATTCTGGAAAGTGAGAGGCCCTGGGAGCTCCAGCCGCTGGGCAAAGGGAGCTGACCACTTGGGAGCCGGATTCACAGCGTCTGCTCTACAGGAAGTGACTCTAAGGAAGAGCCGATGCTTAGAGAGCAGCGGGCCTGCCCGCACCGGGCCACACGGGTGCTGGGTGCTTACTCCTGGAGAACAACCAGCTGGCCCCGGAGCGAGGGGCGGGTTTCAGAGCTGAGGAAAGGGATGGGGG